ATTTTTTTAGTTGAATTTATTTTTTAATTTAATTTAATAAATATTAAATAATTTAATACTTAATAAATAAATAGGAGGATTATAAAATATAGTTCTGCCACTGAGGAGGTCACAGCGGTGTTGGAAGGATGACTTACACACATTAGACAATTATACTAATTTGTACTAGAACTTCAAATAGCAGTGGGAAGTTGAATAAAATCAAGCTCCATAATGATTGACATGGAAGTATACGTTTCCCTTTTCACTCTCCTACTCCCCAAGATCTCATCCACACTACCTTCACTTACCATCTCCTCTGCATGTTTTCCACCTCACCTCCATCTCCAACCTGAGCTTCAGCCTCACATAGATAAGTCTCTCCCTCAACTCAGGATGTCCCAGTTTGAACAGGGAGCAGAGTTCCCAACCTCACTGAGTTGCTTGAGCAAGACTCCAGGAGTCCTGCATGGCCCATCAATCACTGACTCCTGCAGACTCTAACTCTGCATTCTCTCTCGGGTCCATCCAGTTTTTTTCCTGCTTCAATACCACTATCACTGCTGGTCTACAGCACTGAAACAATTTCCCAGCTTTTGAACTGTTAATCTATAGTCTCAGAAGACCAAAACATCATTAATCTACAAAAGGAAACAAGCTAAATTCATTTAAGTGTATAAATTACATGTAACATACCCACAGAAAAAAAATACCATTTAAAATTTTTAAATCTCAAGCATTTAAAAAAGAGCAAGACATTTTTAAGGATATAGTCACATTTACTAGAGGCAAGTAATATATGATAAGCTTCATATATAATAAGCTGCTGAAAATTAGCATTCGATCAGGAAAACAGGTATGTTTGCATGGAGAGGCAAGTCACACACACAAAAAAGAGAGATAAAGATAGTTAATAAGCTTAGGGAAAATGTTCAAACTTTCCAGAACTAGGAAAAAGGCATCACCCCCGCAAAAAAATACAACAGCTAATAGGTAAGTTACACTTAACAAGCTGAAGACATTAAAAATAGAATGAGAAAAGGCAGGGCTAATCTGAAAGGCTAAACTAGACATCAATTTTTCTTGTGAGTAATGTGACAATAAAGATTTAAAACGTAAATAAATTTATATACATTGGATCTAGCAAATCTTCTTCCATGAATGCATCCAAAAGAAATATGCTATTATATACAAAGACACATGCATAATGAGTTTAAATAAAGATTGTTTTTTTTAAAAACTGCATTTGAATTTGATTGGGATTGTCTTACATTTATTGACTGACTTGTATTTTGTTGTATTTACAGAATATGTTTATAGAGAACTGTCATTGTTATAATATTATCTTCCCATTCAGGAACATAAAATTCTTCTCCATTTATTCATATCTTCTTTTTGATAGCACAACAGATCCTACATATTTTTTTAAAAAGTTTATTTCTAGACAGTTTACATTTTGGGTTGCTTCTTTGAATTTCTCTTTTTTAAAAATTATATTTAATACTATCTAGGAAGTTCACTGATTTCTAATTATTTGTAAACAACCTGCCATAGTTAAAAAAAAAATCAATAGCTGGTTTTAGGTGATTTGCTTGGATTTTCCAGGTAGATATTTAATAACTTTGCTTTATCTTTTCAAAATGTTTAAATTCTTATTTCATTTTCTTATCTAATTGTTTATGTAAAAATTTCCAGAAGGATTCTAATACATATTTTAAAAAGTATTCTTCAGTTTTGGTTTTGCCCGGAATGGGTAATAAATTTTATTGAATTCTTTTTCAGCATATATTGAGATAACAACATGTTTTGTCTCTTTTTGGCAAATTGAGATTATAAAAATACAGTAATTCCAAAAATCAACTACTTTTGCTTTTTTAGCTTAGGCCTATTCATTTGGTGATACTGTTTTTATTATCACATGCAGTTTAACTTGATTTGCTAAAATTTTACTAAGAATTTGACAGTAGGGTTATATGAATCTTGTGAAACTGAGTAGTCTCTAGGCCTTCACTAAAGCTATATAAGTGTTTATATGGCATAGGGAGAATGTATTCTTTGAATATCTGAGTGAACATAAAACATTTCTTCCCATGGAAGCATTTAGACCTAATGACTACAGAAAGCATTTCTTATTTTATTAAGAGGGTATATATAATTTTTTTAAACTTCTTACATATCCTTAGGTTTCTTAGGATTCTTCCTCTTCTTGAGTCAGTTTAAGACATACATGGTTTCCTAGAAAATGACCCATATTATCAAGATTCAAACATTTTAGCAAAGATTTTCGTGCTTAAGATTTCATAAAGTCTTCTTTTTCAGTTTCTGTTTCTGTAATGTATATAATTAGGTTATTTGCTTTTTGTCCTCTTTCCTTAATTAGATTTGCAAATAATTTATCTATTTCGTTGGGCTTTACAGAGAACCAGCCCTTAGATTTATACATCCATTTTGTTTGCTTATTTCTAATGTGTATTTTATTAATTTTGTCTTTTGAAAATTGATGAACTCCTTCCTTTTGTATTTCTTATGGTTATTTTGTTTCATTGTTCCTATTCCTTTGCTTGAGTGCTTAGTTAATTTTTATTTATTCTTTTTTAATAATAGCATTTAAAGTTTTGAATTTTTCTGAGAACAACGTCAATCACATCCCATATATTTTCATGTGTGATACTGTTATTATCAGTCTATGACTATAATTTCAATTCATTCTTGGAGACAGAATTATTTAGGACAGGTTATTCTGAATTTTCATAGTTGTTTATCCTTTTGTATTGATTGAAAATTTTATTGCACTGTGCTTATAGATATGGGCCTACCAAAACAGTTTTCACCTTTTGAAATTGAATTTTCTTGACTAAAATATGATTAATTTCTAAAAATATTCCAAAGACTTTTGAAAATATTATTTTATGTATCAGGTGCAATAGACTGAATTATGTCCCCCTTTCCCAAATTCATATGTTGTTGACACTTTAGTTCCCAGTGTGACAATATTTAGACATGGTCTTTTAGGAGATAATTAGGTTTAGATGAGGTCATCTATATGGGGCACTCATGATGGGATTAATGCCCTTCTAAAGAAGAGATACTAGATCTGTCTCTCTGCCATGTGAAAACACAGTGACAAGGTAGCCATCTGCAAGTCAGGAGGAGAGCCCTCACCAGGAACTGAATCTGCTACCACCTTAATTTTAGCCTTTCCCGCCTTGAAAACTCAGAGAAAATAAATTTCTATTGTTCATGCTGCTTAATCTATGGAATTTTGTTATGGCAGACAAACAGACTAAGACATCAAGTTTACTAATTAACTTTAATTGTTCTATTATATATATAATTCTTATTTACTTAGTCTGCAAATATTTAGGGGTGTGTTTTTTAAGTTCTTCTATTTTAAAAATCTTGTTGAAGAAAAATGAAGAGTGAAGAGGCAGGAATCAAGAATATTGGAAGAAAGATTTTTATTAAAGATGATATTAACCAGCTCTGAGACTTTCCCTGAAATTCAAGAGTGAACTCCAGAGTGAGTTTGAGTCAGAAAGTTAAAACATAATTGAGTTACATGTGTGCTGCTGCTTGATGTTAATACAGCCGGAAAAGGGCAATGGCCTGGATTAAGCACCTGAAGAATCCTGTGAATGCACAATGAGAAAAGCCCTTGGTGACAGTGTCACTGGGGATAGAGAAATGTCTAAGCAATTGGGGATTTTAGAAGTAGCCTCAGGGGAAGACCCAAGTAGGCTCATACAAATCAGAAAACCTGGATAATAAACCTATTAGAATAATAGAGAGAGAAAAAGAAATCATTAAAGATGGTTGGGCAACCATAACATTAAAAGGCTATGTGTGCAAGAGAGACGCATGTGTATTTACAGGAATATCTAAGGGCACAGTTTAGTGAATATATTGAGTTAGAATTAGGTGAACAAGAGCATATCTCCCTCTCTCTCTTTTTCTAAAAAGACCTCATTAACTACACTAATTTTTTGCAATATAATGTGGAAGAGCTGTGATCTTACCAATCTAATCTCTTTCATTTTTGTGTATCTCTTTCCAACTGTTGCACATATATGTTCCTACTGGGCTGTATCATTATTTTATATACTGAAGAGCATAGTTTTAACTGGAAGCTGGGAATACGCTTAAAGCCAAGAAAGAAACTGACTTTGTTTTTCTGGTAATCAAAGAATCTGGAAGAAATAGCTCAGCTTTGGAATAAGGAGGGGAATGTGTCAAGAATTATCGCTTAAAAAACTAATGATAGGACAGGACCACCCACAATGAAATATTGAAGGCTTGAAGGCAAGTGCATATTGCTTTAAACCAAGTCCATCTAAAGGAGTGGTGCATACTTCTGTACCTTGACTTATCTTGCTCTATGTAGTTTGTACACTGGGACTCTCTAGCATTGGAGAAAAATGAATACTTTCCAGAGGCATACAACAGGTGCCAAACTGTTAAATACACTGTGATGGAAGGAAAATTACGAAAGAAGTACAGAGGAAAGGTGTATGTTAATCTCAGGGGCCATCACAAAGCTGTCCAAGGTAATTGATAATAATCACGAATTGTAGTTTTGTGTTTAAAAGTTCATCACAGAGGCTCTAAGCCCCTAGTTTAATTCACATTTCTGACTAATTAATTGATCAATCAACCTCACAAGCATTAACTGAGTACTTAACTACATGCCAGAACTCTGCTAGGCATTGGAGAAAGAGTGGAATAAAACATGTTCCCCTTCCAGATCTGGCAGTGGAATAGATATGTAATTACATCAAAATATGATTAGATTTTGTGGTCAGAACCCATAATTATACTATAGCGTGGTCAGGTTTGCAGAGTGTCCAAAGTCACACAGTTAGCTATAGGAATGATAAAGACTAGAATTCTGAGTTCTTGATTCTGATCCCACTGTGATTCCTACTACAATACTGCCAGCCTCACAATATTAAATATGAGCAAATTAAAATGAATTGTAATCTCATATTAAGAATCATCATAGATTTATTTGAAAATCACCAAACCTGGACGCAGCTGGATTGACACTTCTCCTGGTGTCACCTGGGTATTAATTTCATTTTCACTTGGTATTATTACACGCACCGACGGGTATTCTATTGAATCAACCATGCAGCCTTTGCTTATTAAATTGGAAACAATATCACAACGTTCACTCCGTGATCCACCTGAAATGAAATCCTGTTTAAAAGAAGGAAAATCACTGATGTTTTTAGTGCATATCATCTCAATTATAACCAAAGAAAACCACATAGCAAAAACTGCAAAGAAACCATCTTCCAATTTAGAACAAATTATGCAGCTGTTCAAAATAGCTGCATGTTTCCAATAAGAGTACTGGCAAATTTGTCTTAAATAAAACTTTAATTTATTTAAAAAGAAGAAAATGAATTACTAAAGAAGTGATTCAGACCATGCAGTTTAAATGTTGTTAAGCTGATCACTGAAAAATTACACTAACTTAATTCTTTATAAATATTTTACTTTGGAAAGATTGATCCAAAAGAAAATTTAGCCAAAATAGACCATTCAGTGGTTCCATATGTAAGCCTCAGTTGTCAAAAAACCCAACAGGTATGTTTATTATACACTGTTGTGTCGGAATATGAGAGCAAGTCCTTAGAAATCACATGCTAAATTAATTATTTAAAATTCCTAAAACAATGAATTCGAAATTTATACTTTTTAGACCATTGAACCTCCCAACTTCTAATACTCATAACAGCCTGTAAATAATTCAATAAACCAAAGAAGATGCTCATGATGAGGCTGGGAGGTATGCGATTACAGTTTAAATTTTCCTGATTCTGCAACTAAATCTAAAATGTTCACTATCATTCAGCACTGGTTAGTTGATGGCTACGTAAGAGCCTTCAGATAAACTTGGAATTAATGAAATAAGCATAAAATTTAATTTATCCTGGCTGAGAAAAAAATGATATTTTTATTTTTCATGTAACCATTGATATTTAGGTAAATCTTTTTACCTGAGAATGGAAAACGTATTGAAAAGTATGGGAATATATTTTATTATACATATTCAATATGTTTGAATTATTTGGGATATTTGTTTACACATGAGCTAACTATTTGCTCAGTGTTCCTCCTGGCAGAAGTCATTTTGAACTGGCATTCAATCATTACTCCTTTAATTCAGATGATTTAGAGAACTGGATTTCCAATCAACTAATCATTCAAAGAATGTTGATTGAATACTTACTCAGGGACAATAGTTTGTTAGATGCTGAGGGTGCAGAATGGAGCAAGACAGAGTCCCTATTATCAAATTCAACAGACAATGGGTAAATTCAATAATTGAGCAAGTAAATATAATTATCATGGGAATTAAACTTAGGGAAAGCACAAAATGTCACAGGGTTATAACGAAAGGGGATCAAGTTTAAGGTGACATGAGTGGTGAATATGAGGTCACCAATTATAAAAAGGGACATCCCTGGAACTGGTGAGTAATTAGATGGGATGGTGGTAGGCAATATAAAATCATTTATACAAAGATTTTAATTCCTCTCTCAGTTTAGAGCAGGGCTTGGCAAACTAGGGTCTGTGGAACAAATGCAGACTACGGCCTGTTTTTGTATGGTTTGAGTGCAAAAATATGCTTTTTACATTTTTAAAGGGCTGTAAAGCAATAAAGAAGAGAAAGAATGTTGCCATAGAGACAGCATGTGGCCTGCAATGACTAAAAGTTTACTATGTGGCCCTTGACAGTGCTGATTCTGTATTAGAGCATGGAGCACACTTGTGATATAAATATAATTAAAAGGCAAAAGGGAATATGTCCTTTCCAACCGGGATTTCCAGTTGTCATTTGGTAAGTGACTTCATGGAAACAGAAAAATTAAATTTGCTTTGTTATTGACCTTACACCTAGATTTTAACCTAAAGTTTAAAATAGTCATAGCCTTAATTTCTTGAATCTAAATTTATCCTGTCCATTGGTAAAACTCAGAGGTATTGAGAGAGGTGGCAAACAAACTGCTATTAGGTCACATCCCCCCCGGAGAGCCTCAGGCTAGGTGGAGGAGCCCACTTTTCCCAGGGGTGGGGAGTACTGAGAGAACAGAAGGCTTGGTGAATGTTTGCTCATTCATGACTCACATGACATGCCACAGACAAAGGGTCACATGCATTTTACAGATGTAAGAACCCAAGAGTTCAATCATGGAAAGGACATAAAGTACATATAGCTCTAAGTTTTCTATTCAGCCAGGGAGTCTTATTTGTGTATACAGAATAGAGAAGAAGGGAATACGATTAATTCACTGTAACTATACATCAGGCTATGCCGTGTGACCTTGAAATGTCAAATAGTTTTGCTGCAGTCAGCAAAATATTCCCAATTATTTTGCACTGTCTGAATCAGCATGGCTGTTTTCATCCCACTGTAAAAACTAAGTTAGAAAAACATTGCCAATTTGCCAATTAGGTTTGAAAAGGGAAGAAAAGACCATGGCATCAAAATAAAGAAAGGAATGCTGTTCCTAGCCATTGTGGCCTACTTCCCACTTTGTATAAAAGAAAAGCAATTTGAAACCACACCCTTTTAATTTTTGGTATTCTGTGTCATTTTAACTCCTTCTAATCCTTATGTTTTACTTTTTCTGCCAGAGAAACACAAGCAAAACCATACTCCAACTTTCTGCATCTAAAAGCTTTTTGAGAATGAAAAGTTCAGGTTGAAATTATTCTGGTTGGCTTTTCATAAGTTGTTATTTTCATCCATTTAATATAGTATTCTGAGGACATAAATAAGAAAAGGTTTGTTCTCCTACTCTGTCTCAATCTTTTTGACTTCCAAACATGGCGATCTGCACAGAACTGAAAGAATTCTATCATCTTCCTTTTGACAGTGAATACCTTTCATATAACATTTTAGGATAACTATGCTCCAAGGTTGCCCTCAGAACTTCTAGCTCAGACATAGCAAGCAAGAGAGAAAGAGACTTTTTCAAAACTTATCGTGTCTTTGGTAGATATTAAAAAGAAACATGAGGCATTAAACTTGGTAATATTGATAAGCTCCTTTCTATCCTAATTATTTCCCAATTACTCTTTATGTAGTGTGGAGCAAAAGAGAAGGAAATGTATGTGAAATGGCACATTAACATGCTACATGAGAACACAAGCAAATGGAGTATACCCTGTCTAAATTTTCTAGTGACTTTTTACTTTTGACCTGCTTTTAAAATTATACAAACCAGGTTTCTTTTGTTACCGGTGGGTGATCCTCCAAAATTCAACAATACATTCTTCCTCTCGATAGTGTCAGGTCAGCCTGCAGGAAGTGGACAGCTCCTTCTGTTAATAACGTGGACAGTGGCTGAATCCTGGCACTGGTTGCTTCCTTCCCCTGATGTGTTATTAACACACGATCCTCTTAGTTTCCCAAACCTGGATGAGTTGCTCCAGAGTCTCCCCAAAGTTCTTTATAGTCACAAGTCCAATTTCTTAAGCAATGCCTGTGTGCCCAATGCTTCCTGTATATTGCTTCATGCTGTCTTCGCAGCAGTGTGAGGCAGTACAGTCAGCATTTTCATTTTAGAGGCAGGGAACACTGAGGCTCGGAGTGGTTAGATAATATGTCCAAGTTGATACAGTTAGAAACTAGGGGAACTAGGATTTGAATCCAACTCGGTCTCTCTTTGGAGCCTGCTATTTCAGTACATAAATTAGACTACACTGCACTACATAGTAGTCATACATACAGAAAAATATCTTGGGACATGAACAGTCAAGTGAATTTCTAAGTGTTTTCCCTGAAATCCTCATCAAAGGATTTGGCCAGCAGTGGATCTAGGTTTGCCTCTTCCCTTCCAGCAGCCACCTATTTTCCTCTCGGCTTTCCTCCTTCCATCCGATGACCCATTCCTCTGAATACTCAAAATCCCTCCCTCTGTGGTAGGACTGTTACTCCCAGAGCTATGACGCTCTAGTTTTTTTTGTGCCAGTCAGAGGTGTGAGATGGAGAAGGGGTCCCTCTGGATCCTGGCATTCTATGGCTAACATGCTATATCTGGCTGACAACTGAACCATCTTTTGAAAGTTCCTCCAACCTACCCTTACTAAGGCACTCAGCAGTGGGCACAATCTTAGGGCTCTAAGGACCTTCCTTAGTGATGCAGTAAAAGTTTAAAATAAAGTACTGGCTTAGGCTCAGGAAATGTCAAGCCATGAAGCATTCTTGAGAACAAAAATCTAGACGTACATTCCAAATTCAAGGTTGTAGAGATAAGGAAAGGAAGCTCAGAGAATAGAGTGAATTTGTTTGGTCATTTGGCACACAGGGAGTAATGGGACTGGACCCAGAAATTATGGAATGGTCTTTTCTATGACATTGTCGGGCTCCATGGGTTTTAGAGAAGCACTTCCTAATTTGTGAATAACATCTGATTTTCTCACTGGTGGAGCCCAGAGGGCATCTGGGAAGCCTTGAGGCTGTTGGTAAGAGAGGTTTACTTTCAGACATGGCTACAGCTTCATGAACCCCTTCCCTGCCTCTCTCCTGACTCGCTTCATAGAAGAAAGTGATGGCCATGGCCCTTTGCTACTTTTCTGCTTTCTTTTTTCTCCCGGGGGATGCATCAAGGCAAACAGTAACAACAGAGGTGAGAAAGATGATGGTAGGTGCAATTGTCTAAACTAAATCGGAGGAGACAAAAGCTAGAAATTTATTTCCATGTCAAGCAAAAGGCCATTAAAGGTCTATTTGCTGCAATTCCCAGGAGCTACATAAATACAGGTAAAATTACCTAGGAAATCTCATAAAAAACACTCCAAATTAGTAGAAGGCTTCTTCAGCACAACTTATCATATACAGATAGTTCTGACTGAAGATTACTGACAAGAGAAGAAACTCACAAAACAAATTTAGAGCCAAGAAGGAAGAAATGCACTATAATTGCTTTACTTAGAATTCTGTTATTGAGATTCATTCCTTTTGGTGGTATACAAAAACACTAATTTTGAACAATAAACATTTTCTGAGCTATTCTCCATTCCACAGAATTCAAAGGTACACAATGCCTCATGAATAGGGCCACATGTCAAAAGAAAAGCATCACATTTTCCACAAGTAACCAATGAATTGTTGAACAATGTTAAGAGATGGAATAAATCACCTATCTTCAAGAATCTAAAATAAAAACAAATTAATTAGCTTGCTTTTCTTTAATAAGCAATCACAAGAGCATGATTCCACTTGGATATATAACCAAATGCCTCAAACTGAAGCAAGAATTTCACACCAAAACCTACTGAACTATCAAAAGTTACTGTCTGTTTGCCAATTGTCTCTATAGAACAGATGGGAAACATAAAATGGTTTGCACTTCATTTCAACATTACCATAATTTTCCTAATAAAATGTTATACTTAATTTTATACTCAGCCAGATATGCTGTCTCCAAGCATAAAAGCAAATAAAATTTTCCTTGTGCTCAGCAGTATGTTTCTTTTCCCTGACGTACCTTCAAGGCACAGAATATTAGGGTAATAAAATCATGCTAGAGAGAAAATCAACTATGAGGAAAAGAAAAAAAGCAAAAAGCAAAAAAACAACAAAAAAAGGCACACCTCTTGAGCACACCATCCACATTCTGGACCCAGCGCAAGGCAGCTGGCGCAGGATGCTGCATTCGAGGCTGTACATCTGTTGTCTTCTGTAACGGAGAATAGAACAAGGTGTTAGGGTTTCCTCACCTGTCAGTGAGTGTACACAATAATAGACCAAAACATATTTTGAAAATGGAAATAAGATGACCTTTCGTTTTAAATACATGACATCAAAAAATGTATAATTTCTTTGGGAAGAGTCAACCTGTTCATTGCAATTAATAGTTCACTAGGTAGTCAGTATTTAGTTTTGTAAGATTGGGAGAGACAAGGGTGATGAAAATATGATTTTGGTTAGATTTGGGGGTTTGGCTTAAATTCTGCTGCAATAACAGAAGGGCCTCCAATTTTTTGGTGTGTTGCAATTTTGCTGTATTTCATATTATCTGAACCAAGTAGGTATTTTGGTTCTAGAGTTTTTCCTGTAAAAATTATCATTGACAGACATTAATCTCAACGTCTCAACATATAAATTCGTGTTGAGTCATAGTGAATGAATATTCTGGGAAATAATTTTGATAGATATATAAAGAAATTAGCTTGGGAATCCTAATTGTCTTAGTGCTGATTATTTTGGCTTGCGGAATACCAGAAACAGACATAATGACATGATTTATTATTTTAGAAATACACTGGTTAAACTGAATGACTGGTTTTAGTTAACTCAATATAATTGCTCAGACTGGATCACTTTAAGAACATGACCAATTCACTTTTCCATAGATTCCTGCACATGGCTGTGATATTTTAATAACACATTTATGCCTGGAAATTATTTACCTTCATCCCTCTGTCTACTAACTACTTAAACAATTAAAGACTCATTAGTATAAAATTGAACACATAAAATATTATTCGGATGAGTCAAATGTCATTTTGTCTTGAGTTTTCAGTGGAACAATTACGTACTTCCTACCGTCTGTCCTTTACTATGAGATGTCCTAAGGACACCGGAAAGCACAGTGTGATTCTATCCATCTCACTCACAGGCACACATCCTGCAGGCAGGTAGTTCACAGTCCAGGTGAGGAGAGAACTATATAAGCAAACAATAAAACACAGTGTAGCAAGCACAAGAGAGAGTTCATCAAAGCACTAGAGGAACATGGGGAAGAGGCTTCTTGCTCTGCTTTAGCATGGTCAGAGCTGGGGAAAGGGGGCATATTTGAGAATGGCTCCCTAGAGGCAGTGACAATTGCTATCTCTCTTTCTCATCTCATTTTATTTCTTCTAACCTGTCTTGATCTTCTTAAAAAATTGTAATAGGCATGAAAGAAAAGCATTCATGTGCATGCACATGTGTGTGCACAATATGCATACACGGACATAGTTTTAAAGGGGATAGAAACCATAAAATCTCTAGCTGCCCCCATTCCACCTGGTTTCTCTTTTTCTTCTCTCTCAACTTTCCCAAACATTCTGTAATACAAGGTAAAAACAGTTCTGAACTGGAGGTAGCATAGAAAGAGAGAGGGGGGAACTACATGGGAATAAACACAGAAGAGAGGTGCTGACTGGGGTGGTAGTAAGACCCTTCCCTGAATTTCCCCAGACACCCAACGGGTTAAGTGGAAAACATCCTTGCCTGTCACCCCTAATGTTCTATATCCTCTCTATACTCCCTTTTGCCCTTCATCCTTGACTTTATGTCAACTTTTTATATATATTATCCAAAACTGGCCTTTCTCTGGAATTTCAAGTGCTAAAAATAACTCTCATGTTTTGGACTCCCTTTACTACCAACTTGGCCACCTAAGCACAAAGATGCCCTAGCCTAAAAACCTTCCATCTGGCTCAGCCTGCAACACTGTAAAACCTGCTTATTCCTAAAATATTCAGAAAAGTGAGTGTTTTGTTCCCAGAAAGAAAACCAATTTAGGTTTAGAAATCAAGCACATTTTCAAGCTGTTATGGCCTGAACGTCTTCCCCCAAAGTTTCATATGTTGAAACTTTGTCTGCAATTTAATAGTATTAAGAGGCAAGGCCTTTAGGAGGTGATTAAGTCATGAGGGCCTTCCCTCATCAATGGGATTAAGGCCCTTATAAAAGCGTTTGACCCTTTTTGTCCTCCCACTCTTCTCCCATGTGAAGATGCAGCAAGAAGGCCCTCACAAGACACTAAATGCCCATGCCTTGATCTTGGACTTCCTAACCTCAAGAACTGTAAGAAATAAATTTCTGTTTTAAATTTTAATTTAAAACATTGTTTTTTGTAAATTACTCCATCTCAGGTTATTTTGTTGTAGCAGCACAAATGGACCAAGACACAGACCCAACTTGACCCTTACCAACTCTTAGCCTTGACCCAACTGGAACATGGAATTAAGTCTATTTCAGTTCAGTCTTGACCTAGCCCTTCACTCAATGAGTAGAACTTTTGCAATGGCAGTTAAGATTGCAGTCACATGGAAAGGAAGCTGCAGAGTCTAGGACTCTGGTCTTTATTTCTAATGATTTTCAGACATTAGAAGTTAACCCAGACTCATGCTCAGGTCAGGCTCCTACTTCCATAACACATGTGGTCAATAATAAATTTACAAGCAAAAACCTGTTTTCTTTGTATTCTGACTCTTTTCTTTAAAAAGTTTTAGAGGCAACCTTTGTTCTCAAACTTTAGACACATAATGATGATGACTGAGAGGGACAGAGACTTTAGCCCCGTAAATACTTCCAGGTTCCAGGGCTGACATTTCTCAGAGTGTATATAAAACTACAGGGGAAAAAAATCCCATAAATGAATCTGGAGGAGGTGGGTTTCACAGTTCTGCAGAATTGGAGGAATGCCATAAATTGAACTTCATGGGAACAGTGTCAACATTACTTCTGGAGAGTGTCATGGTTATACTTCACAGAAGACATGCCAGATACACTTTGGCATGAATTTTAAGGATTTTCCTTTTAATTTTAAAATATGCAAGTAAGTAAAATACCTAACATGCAAATAGCACATCGGTTACAGCAGTTCTTTTCACTGAATGGTCAAACTGTTATGAGTGCTTTAGTCAGCATGTGCTAGGCATCTCTCTCTCTCTTTCCCTCTTTCACGTGCACATGCTCTTCTGTAGAGTAGAACTCTTCTTCACACTGCAGACACATCAATGCATGACTGCTGCTTCCAGACTCTGGCAGTCTGTCACCAGTCTTCTGTCCGGGTCTTCTCGGTTCATTTGCCCTTTACCCCTGAGGCGGCATTACAGGAATGCTACTTTCCAGCACTGGTTTCCTATCAGCCCTCGGTGCTGCACTGACTCCTCATTACAGCGTGTGCCTAAGAGGCTCTCCTTCCCACTCTACAACTGAGGTTGCTGCTGCTTCAGCTATCTGTCCAGTGATGTTGCACCTTATTCTTTATATGCTAGCATAGCATTTTTATTAAGGATATATATTTTTTTATTTCTCCTATAGGAAATTTTTAAGCCAATGGAAGCAAAATGATAATTTTTTTTTTTTCCTTTTTGTCTTTTTTCGTGTCTGGCAACGGATCGCAACCCTCAGTGTCGCGCCCGTACCGGACCGGGACCGGCAACGGGATCGCAACCCTCGGTGCTGCGCCCGCACCTCGCTCAGCCAGTGAGTGGGAACCGGTCTGTATGTGGGATCCGAACCCTCGACGGGAGCGCCGCCGCCTTCCCAAGTGGCGCACTGTAGCAGTGCGCCACCGGGCTGGCCCCCAAAATGATAATATTTTAAACCACATATCCTCAGATCCTTCTTCTGTGCCCATTTGTTTTAGCCTTCTGTGCCTTATAAGCCCTGTGTTTTTTAAAAATGTGTTGTCTTGACAGAAATCAGTAAAAGATTTAACAGCATGTTGCCAATAAGTGCATATACATTGTAGATAATTCTACTTCTTGGTCTGTGAGCATGGGCTGTGAGTCTTACTTTTTCTCATTACGTTACAACTGGAGGTGACAGATGTGATGAGGCAGCGTTGCTAATGGCTGCTGGAAAGAAACTTCCAAACTTCCATAGCACTACTACTTACTAGTCATATGCCCTTAGACTTGTTACTTCTACTTTCTAAGCCCCCATTTCTTACACTATAACACAGGGCTAACTATACCCATATCAAACTGTTCATATGAAGATGAAGTGAGACAAAGTACGTCATGCACAGTGCTCAGGACGTGATAGGAATTCGATACAGGAACTGTTGCAGTGTTATAACTAATATCACAATAAATTATACGTGTATATATACATATATATGTTTGTGTGTATATGTGTGTATATTTAGTCCTAGGTTCAAATAAAAAAGAGAAGTTGTTATGTATCTTTCAATTTGTTGTAAACATAATTTGCTATCTTTAAAATAAAGTCCTTGGGTTGTAAAGGCAAAGTTTTAAAAATATAGCTAATGTTTAAAAATAGCTGTTAAGTAAAAATTCACTGCATTTCTTTTAGTTTAAAAATGATTCTTAAAAGCCAATTAAGCGAAATATTAGGGTTCTTAAAAAGTTTGTGGAAAGTAGAGTTAAAAGATAATACAAATCTTTTCATGAACTTTTTGAAGTACCCTTGTGTATATACATCAGTCCAATCTATTACAAACACAATTTTGGTGTGACTATGAATTGGATTACTGAAAGTCTTTTAGAATACCTTCAATTTATTAACATTTTGAAATGTGAACATTAACTTAAGCTGAATAATTTTTGAATTATTTCCTAGAATTAAATGATAATGACGCATGTGAAATGACCTCTATAACTGTCTGTCATAAGTATAATAAATATCTGTCATCAACAGGATACAGTACACAAAAATCAGGAAACTAGACATTCATGATACTCACTGATACCCTCTTTGTTTTAGATAATTCTGTTTAGTAACATTATTTTGAGAATATTTAGCCAATAGAAGTTGGGGGGAAGAAAGTGGAGCAAACAAAACAAAACAAAACAAAAAACCTTAAAACTAAAAAAGACAATACAAATATCAATGTTTACATTGGGATCTCTCCATAAGACAAATGATTGGATCAAGTGAAAATTTTAAGAAACACTTCTAGTTTTTTCCTGCTGTAAAGTCTATACAGCAAAGTTA